GCATCCTACCAGGAATGGCTGGAGATAAAGGACAACCACCTTATTACAGATATAGGATTCATGAACAAATCATTAGACCAATTAAGTTTAGAAGGGACCTCAGAAGGCTTCAGGTTTAACACTATGATCAAAGCAAGACCAGCACAGAATTTATATCTAGATTGAAAATGTTGTCAAGGCCTTATCCAGTCATTTTGAATATACCCAAAGATAAACATCACAGTATACCTCTTGACCTCTCTTCAAGTGCTTACACACCCTCAGTAAGATCTTTTCCCACAATGTTTAATCAGGATTTGCCTCATTTCTGTCATTCAGTTTGATAGTGGGGACTTCTATGTCTATCCATCATCAAGCACTATCACTTTATAGGTGTGGATCATTTTCACACATCACCACCTCCATTCCTAAGCATCTTGTTATGGAACAGTGTTATTATCTTCTATTATGGTTGCTAGGTTTTCCAAGAACTTTCTCAAGAGTCAACTCTGATGGTTATTGAAAATTACAGAGAGCATCCAGCAACTATTAGGTATTCTCTGGAGGCAAGGATCCTTCCCCTTTAATGATCTTGTTTCCACCATGCTTTTGCTGAGGTAAGAGGACTTCAGCAAGGCCTATCGTGAAGTTCTCATTTTTCTGAAGGGTTACCAGAGGATGACCAGAAACACTTTATTTCATTTTTGGGGGAAGGTGAAGTATCTGAGATCTGATATCCTGCTCTTCAGACTGCAACCAACAGCAGTTGCAAGACAAAGGCTAATAGATTCCTACAGGCAGATATATTTGGAATACGAAATATAATAATTGAACTCTTTTACCTCTCTTTCCTCTCTCAGGAAAAAATCACTGCTGGAAAGGAGGTCTGGATACCACAATGGAAAGAAAGCTAGAGGGAAGACCCATTTTCTTTAAAGATATTTTATCAGGAATCAATTAATAAGCTAATAGAAATGCTGCCTGTGAGCAGAAGCTACTAAAATGCCTGGAGACAAAAGTACAAAGAACCCCCAGATGAGCAGAGAGCCTAGAGATGAACAGTGATTAAATTGCTATAGAGCATCGCTATGGCTTCCCCGATGCTCCCCTATGCAAAGCCCATGGGCTATGAAGCCCAATTAAACTGTCCTCATTGATCAGTTTTCAGACCTCCTAACTGAGTTTCTTTTGGGAATGGTTATAACAAATATTTTTCCTGGATTTCATGTCATGAAAAGCAAGCAACTCTAAGGATCCTCCACATACGTCTAGAACCTTCACCAAGCCTTTTTTCAATTTCAGATCTGGCTGTGACCTTGATAGGTAGTGATGTTTTCTTCCAACATTCACTTCTGAAGATTATTGTCAGAAAGATAAGATGTGCCATGTGAGATTCTTCCCACGCTACACATCCCTCTAAAAAACTTTAATTAAACACACGCTATCAGTTACTGGATGAATTCACTGCAGAGGCTAAAGAGATGATGTAGTGAGTTTTATAAATCATTACTCTCATCTCTACTTACATAAAGATGAAATAACGTGAAAGCACAACACTGCTTAAACACTATTATATTGTTACAAGCAAAATGATCTAGATAGAATAAATTTCATCAACCTAAATATTTTTCAGTGAAGTGTAGTAAGAACTGTCCAATGTTCTGCAAAAGTGTATTCCATTCAGTACAGCTTCATGCCAACAGCACCATATTATGTAAAACTGAATTCATTATGATCAGAGATCATAAATTTCACAGTTTGTTTTTCTCTTCAGTGATCCCACTGCAGAACTGTCAGACCAAAACACTGCAAAATCAAGACCAGGACCTTTTATGGTGAAATCTTGTATTACTTATGTACCATCTTCAGTTGGAGTGCTGGAGGTGCCTTCTCCAATTAGAACTGTTCAAGTAGCACATCTGTGTCATGTCTCCGATCTGGGGCAAATGAGCACACAGAAAGAGATGCAAATTTCTGCTCTGTATCATAAGGACAAGTTGGTTTAAATCTGGGGAGGCTACAAGATGTTACACAGCAAAAACTCCTTCCTGCTTTTTCTTTTGCCAAATGTAACAGGTAGAACACTGACACACAAAAAAAAAGATAGAAACTTTGGTGTCATCTGTGGTCCATATTGTGAGTCCTACTGCCGATGGTTATTAGTTCTACTACAGACAAATTACTGGCATCAGTGTCAAATATGAAATGGCAGAGGTGCAGCTAGGATCACAGCATTATTAAAGCTTTAAATTAATGTATTTTCTATCCTTTTGCTCGTGTCATAATTAAGAGTAGGACAGGCATTGCATGGGCTGAATAACCTGTTAAAGACTATTACATGCATTCAAAGCACCCAAGTCTGTCATAACTGGAGAACTTGAAGTATTTATAAACTTCTGAGATAGCAAATCATCAGCCCATCTATCACACAGACAGGAATACTAGGCTGATTGAAGAGATGATAATTCATCAGGGCTTCGGTGATATTTATAAAGATTTCGTGCAGTTCTACAAGGAGGAAATTTATGAAAGTTCTGCAATCACATTTCCATACAGGTATTTACGCAGATTCACTTCTCCAACAAAAGTCTTCGTAGCAGGGCACTCATCATATTATGCAATTAACAATTCAATGAACAAAATCTGCTGTGGATTTGACTTATGATGCTGGGGGATGGAGTGGCATTCCCTTCATCACCCCTCCTGTTGGGGATGATTGTCAGAGGGCAACTGAAAGCAGGCAAATTTTGGTACTTCTTTTCCAGTTCACATAGACTAAGAAATACAGACTTTTTCACAGTAGGTATTTGAAGAACACTTAAAGCACTGCATATTGAACTGAGCAGTAAATCAATATGGCATTCGCTGCTGAGATATGGAAGTTAACAATAAGGAAAAGCTCTTTTACTATGCTAACCACCAAGGCCCTCATCTGTGCCTTTGGCTGGCAATTTGAAGGCCTTTCCCTTCATAAGGAGGTAAGACACAGCATAATGGCAAAGTTTTGCAATGTGATGTGAGAAACATCATCTGTTTTTGGAATGCTTTAAGAGTGCGTGGAGACGTGGGGAGGATAGGCACTATCACAAGGGAGAGGTTTTATAACAGTGCACTATAAGATAAAATCTTTTTCTGGGCAGAGGCACTGAAAACTCAAAAGACTCTGAAATTTCATTGAATTTTCTGTTTCTAAGCTTTGCAGATCTGAAGCTAGAACAGAGCATGTAACTTCACCCTTTCAAATCCTTGTGATACTTTAAAATCATACCCATAGTACCACAAGATGAGTCCAAATTTCTTTTACTCTTTTGAAAGAGAAAATGCTGCAATATTTAGGAAACTTAGCCTTAAGTTACATCTCAAAAAAGCAGATATAATGGTTTAGCCAGTCAACCTCAATTTGCACAAGAGATGTAAACATATGGATACAGGGAAGGTTTAGGTCACAATTTCAGCTATTTGTAGGTGTCTGCATGTGAGCCAAATATCTAGGCAAGCTTTAGAGTGAGTAGAGAGCTAGTCCATACTGTCAGTGAAGTCTAGAATTGCTTAAGTGAGCTGATGCTGAAGTCCTTCAATGAGCTATGCTGATGAGAAAGAGATTGTACTGACCAGTTTGAAGTAGTTGCATAGAAACACCATTGTATCCCTTTGGTTTCCCACTGCCCACCCAGAAGGTGTGGATTTCTTACAGGTCATAAATCACATCTGATAGAGCCACAGGGATGACTCAGATATTTGACAGCCCCTCAAGTGACACTAGATACCCATATTTGGGGAAATGAATCAAGCCTCACATCACTCAAGTTGGGTATCTTAACCTTGAACTGACTACCAAAGTGAAAAATGTAAATTGCAATGGTAGTGTAATATAACTGGGCAAATCACTGGGTACAGAAATCCTTCCAGATCTGCTAAGTTGCTATCAAGGCACAGAGGACAAACATAAATAATTCATACTGCCTTGTCTGATTATGTCAGAACTTCCTCAAGTTGGAAGAAATGGGAAGTGGGCTCATGATCTTAGAGAACTTCACTGCAGTGAAGGAGCTATTTCAGCCAAAAGAGTGAAATCCTGGTATGAATTGCCTACTGGTCCTAGTTCCAGTCAAAAAAAAACCTAAAACCCAACAAAACAAACAACCAACCCAAGCCAAAATATTGGTGAGATGGCTGAGATTCCAATGGCTGAGAAATAGAAAAAGATAATAGAAAAATTGAAAGCAGCTGAGTGAGAAGACATGCCCATTCTGTCTCACACTGCCACACAAGGAGCCCACAATGAAACCAAAACCCAGCACCTATATATTATATACTGACACAGCAGGAGTAATTAAGAAATGAAATTAACTTCTGCAAAGGCCCAAACTTTAACTGGACAAAGAAGATGTATTAATGCAGATAAATTAGACACAGGCATTGCAACCACAGAAAAAAAAATGTAATTTTCTGAGACTTGAGGGTGTAAGTCAAACATTAAGAGGTATTAGTGAAACATTCTGTGCATATTAGTCCCCAAAACCAATCCAAAGTAGCACAGTGACTTTGTTCCCAACCCTCTTCTTTGAGTACAACAGGGATTGTTCATTCAGGGAACAATCACAGAAAAGCTCTCCCACCTCAGCATGGCATTCCTTTATAAAAATGGGTCACCTGTATTACAGTCCTTAACAGGAGCCCAGATGAGAAGTAATGCTTATTTACGCCCAGAAATCGTATTTGGAATTACTGAGAAAATTGAAAGAAGTCTTAAAATGAAGAAAAAATATGTAATCTGGGAATATTTCTTTTCCTCTGCCCTTGCCTCCCAGTTGGCGCAGAATGGGTTAAAGCTTTCTGAACAAAGGACACTTGCTAAAAGAGCTGGGACATTCAGATGCACGTTAACAGAAACTTCTCCAAGAAGAACAGATTGATGGGACTGCAACCCCATGTGAAAACATCTCATTGCACAAGCAAGCATTGAAGTAGATTCCACCTCCTGAGAACTGATGGCACTGACAGCGGAGGACACTACTTACCTCACCGTTCAAGAAGCAGTAAAATACTGACACAAAGAAACCCTAGAAAGAACAGAAAACAGTTAATTATTGGGTATTTTAACACGCAGAACTGAGGGCTGTGTTTTATCCTGGTATCATCCATAAACACAACCTTGTTGATGTCTTGATGATCCTCTTACAGCCAGACAAAATCTTTACGCTACAATTCCACGAGATTCCAGCAGCAAACTGTTAAAACATGAGAGCTACAACCCAGACACTGATAGAGCAAATTATCCATACAGTTGTGCTGAAGCCTCTCTCCAGCTTCCAGTTGTCTCCCCCAAAATGGCAGAGCCCTTCACAGGTCCTGGGTCATGCCTGCCAACTCAGTGCAGATGTCTTACATACCACATAGGGTGTCAAATGGCCTCAGATGCTTTTGTGGGGGCAAGTGCATCACTGGATTGCTTACATTCAAGTGAGCTGCAGTGCTCTGAGGAATCTATTGACTGCACCTCTCTGATGACTGCAAAGATTGCAATGACTGTAATATAAGATTAGATGACAACATGATGACATTTTCATTTTTAAACCCACGAGCAGAGTCCCATTTATTCTGTTTTTAGCAATGGACTGCAATTATTGTCACCATAAAGGAGATATTCACCATGCATGCTTTCTTATGTATGCCTTTGTAATGCTAACAATAAGACAAGCAGTGTAGCAGTTTTTGAGTAATACAGTTAATTTTAGGGAACGAAAAATGTGAGTTGATTCACTGTAAAGGTCTGACATTCTTTTGTTCGTTGATTAAAACTGTCACTTTCCTTTTTGATTTTCAATTTCTGGTCGGATGCTCTGTGCTTCAAAGCTAAACATGCAGTCAGTAAATACAGTAATCCAAAACTTGGTTTCCAGAGCCTTAGATTTGGCTTGATACTCTGTGTGCTGTACATTGGGATTGATATTCTGGGCATCAGAGAATTTGTTCCTGTAGATACCATAAGTAAAATATTAATAACAGCAATAATTCCACTCCCGTTGAAGAGCATCTTCAAGCAGAAGCAAGGTTATAGAACACACCTAAGCAGAGGTAAGTGGCTGAACATAACTCAATGATTTCAGTTACCTTGCCTTTTTTATGGTATTTCTTTTACCAGATTCAGAAACCTGGGGCAATTACCTTCCACTGTGTTTTACATCTGGCAGAAATCCTATAAGATTCAGTGGAAGGAGGAAATAGAGTAGAACTACTCATAGAGTTGGTTAGTCTGGTGCTGCAGGAGAGCTGGAGTGGGAGCTGGGTAATATTTAAGACATCATTAATGTCTTAATCAAGTATGCCCAACAGGCAGGAGCTGTTTTCCTTTGTTTTGGAAACATCTAAACTCAAACTGTGAAGAGAGAGAGGCAGTTTGGAAGCGTGATTCATCATTCTCTCTCAGGCAATTCATGATGGGATGAAACATTATCTCTGTGCTGATTTTAGATGGGGCTGTAGCTATAGAGTGAACACAGTGCTGATAAGGGAGGTGAATCCCTCTGGAACACACCTGGGAGATCTCCACTCTATGAGATACGCTGTATACATCTATTAAGTAAGCATAAATAACAAAGCTGAGTTCTTTTCAACTGTAATTGTTTGTCATATAATGAATTGCTGTAAGATTCATGGTTGAAAAGCACTAAGGATCCTTTTAGCAGCAACCAATACCCAAATATAAAATTGCCCTCCTACCTGAAAAGACTGCAGAAATGAATTGAAGTAGATGAAGACAATTTGGGAAATGTCATCTTCACCAGGGTTGACGAAGAAAAGCATGTATGTGATGCCTAGCAGAGGCAGAAGAACTAAAGTTGCCTTGACTGCCTTCCTGTTGGGAGAAAATAGAAACCACCAGTGAATACAGGAGAGAACCATGTTTGTTACCTGACATTACACCACTCTATAATGACACAGACCAAAAAAACCCAATCCTTTAATGGGGAGAGGGCACAAGTCTCAGAGCAATTCAGAGGGAAGTACCTACATTAGCTGAAGGGGGAACTTAGGTGCCCGCTTAAGTTATTCAGCATCTCTACCTGTTGAACATGGGGTAGCTGAGAAGAAATAGAAGGATGTCCTAAGGACCATTTTCAGATAGGCATTCACATGTAAAATTCTGCCTAGTGTCTAAAACAGGTGTTTGGAGTTAGGGAATACAAGCACTTCCAGTAGGTAGCACCATTTTCCACCAGAAAGAGTGGTGGTGCAGTGGCACAGGCTGCCCAGGGAGGTGGTGGAGTCCCCATCCCTGGGGGTGCTGTAGAGCCATGGAGATGTGGCACTGAAGGATGTGGTCAGTGGGCATGGTGGGGATGGGCTGGGGTTGGACTTGGTGCTCTTAGTGGTCTTTTCCAACTTTCAGGATTCTGTGGCTCTCAGAATATGCTGTTAGGGCATTTTCTAAGGGCAGCAGTAGAGGCCTCTACTTGCATAATGGCCAAAGAACTGGAGCATTTACCCAAGAGGACATCCAAGCTTTGGACACTTCTTGGCCCCCATTTCCAGGAACAGGCCTGAAGTTCATGACCAGCTTATTGTGGGACGCAAGGTGAAGGCTCCTGGAGTCCTCAGGCAAAGGGCAACACAAGTTCAGCACAAAAGGCTGGATTGAGTTTAGCAGGGAGATGGGAAAAAACATCAGCCTTCACTCTGAAACCATGAATGAGCTTGTGAATTGTTTCTGACCAGTGCTTGATGACTTGAAGAAGTGTTCTGGGAAAGCCTTTGTCTTTCAATCCTCTTTGTCCCCACAAGCTGAACAAACTGAAATCTTTTTTACATCCTTCTCTCTCTACTTCCTCCAGGCAGTTTCTGTCCTATTCCATGACAATTAGGCTGAAGCTTTGAGACTCTTTAAAGGCCCAGTGAGTGACTCTTTAATACCCCAGGAGGATAATGTGATAAATCCTGCACCTGGCCAGGACTGCCAAGCAAGACCTGCCTTGTGCCCACTTTCTGATTCTGTCTAGAGTGTAAATGCTCCCTCTCTGCAGCATCTGTATCCTCAACGCAGTGGTTTAAGGCCATCTTACAGTAACAAACATATGGTGCACCATGAATCATAAGTTATTATTAATAGAATTATCAGAGGCTTATCTTTATTTTGGGGGCTATAACAGTGCCTTGGGATGCTACAAGCAGAACAACCTCATTGTGTAAAATACTTTCCAAGCACATACAACACATTTTGCTAAGTCTCTACAGATCTCTTAGAGATAGTAAGACTGTAAGGGATGGATGAAGACAGGTAGGCAAGCAGGGGAGCACAAAAACACTACCAGTATCATGAGACAGCAATGGTCTTAACAAACTACCTGCCACACTATTTAATACTTGCTTAACAAATGTTAAGCAAGACTTGCTCCAGGTTCCAGGAATCCAAAAGGTTTCTATTTTGGCTGTGAAATAGAAGATTCACCTACAGAGCTTGTAGTGGGGATATCATCTGTTCAAGGACAAAGGCAGTTACTTTAGATTGCCTCCAAATCTAATATCTCTAATCCCTGCCAACTGCAGCAGGGAGTACAATATAATGAGATTTGAATTGGTGCTGGATAGGTTTTGTTTGGTTTTTTTTTTTTTTTTTTTAATGCTAACTTTAGTTTCGTGGCATCAGCTTTGTGCATGAAAAAAGGATATTTTTTTCCCTTTCATTTCTCATGAAATGCACATAGAAGAATGTGAGCAAAGGAATCAGACCACTGCATTAATTTCACGTTTGTCCCCAGGCCCCAGACAGGAGTGAAAGAAAGGAAGCAGGTAGAAAAACAAAATTCCATTACAGCAGAATTGCCTCTGAAGTCAAGAGCAGGCTGATTTGAGGACATCAGCATTCAAGCCTCAGTTTGATACACTGAGATTTTATCTAGAAATGATGTTATGGACAATATTCCCCACAAAGACGGTGTTATTTCTCAGAGTGATAACCTGTCTGTCCATAAATGATCCAAAACACTGGCCCATTTGGCAAGGCACTATAAATACAGGCAATATAGGAAAGGCACTCAGCGTCTCCTTATTTCTAAGAATTTTCTTTTGGAACTGTGGGGGTTTGATCTGAGTTCACAGCACTGCCAGAGGGGCCAGGCTGCCTTCCTTCTGAGATTTTGGGCTAAACATCCCCATCCTTCTCTTTCTGCCGCACTGTCTGGGAGGTGGCACGGTCAGCCAGCCCAGGGAACTGCTCTGCCTGAGAAGGAATCCCATAAACTGGTAGTTGATGGTTGGTGCCCTGATGCAGCCCACTGAGTGGTTCCACTGATGCTGGTGCCAGCTGAAGGAAAGAGCACTAACAGCCTTCTGTCCCACACTCAGCACTAAAAAATATCATTAAACTCTACTGCATGTGCACAGTAATCAGCAGTAATACTGCTACTGATTACAGACATGCTTTGCAGGCTCTGTTTTTTTTTAAATCCTGGCTCTGTTAGAATCTTACTATGAATGTAGATCTTAATATGCATGCACACGTGATTTATTGGGAAGTCTTGACATTGCATTGTTCTGCATCTACAAAGCTGGAGGCTGGGATAGAGAGGAGATCTAGAAGGGACTGAACACTTTTCCACTGATCCACCACATTAGCTGAATAAATGGTCTAACCCTCAATGTAATGACATATATATATCATATAATACATATACTTGTGGGGCAAGAAGGATACCCTCTGAGATCATAGTGGCATCTGGAAAGACAAAGATGGGACGAGGACAGGATGGGCAAGGCAGCTCTTTGCTACCACACAAGGAGCAAGAAGCACCAGCTGACTTACCTGTACTGTATTGTTTCTGAAGTGGTTGAAGCTCTCAGCTTTGTCATTAAAATTCTAACTATGTTAAACAGAAATACAAAATTGATCTGGAAAAGAAGGAAGAGAGAGGAAGAAGTAAGATCGGTGAGTCAAACAGAGGCTTAAAGGATAAGATATAACTTAAAAGGCACATTTTGCAGTTCCAATCTGATCAAACCCAGCCTCCTGGCTTTATCACTGACTGCAGCAGTTACCAGAAATACCAGATAATACAGCAAATACCCAACAGTTATTAATCCCTTCAAAACAGAAATGAACAGAATGGATGGTCCCAGCAAGTAGCTTTATTTTCACAGCCCTTTACTCCTTCCGTGGGTGCAGCAAGGAGGTAAGGGGGGGCTTTGTTTGGCTCTTTGCACCTGACTCTGGCTCAGCTCACCCAGGCTCCCTGCATGCAGTGGTGTGCTGACATGGCAGGCTGTAATGGCCAGGTAGGACTTCCAGACCCAAAGTACAAGACTGCAGTGCAGAAATCCAAATATAAGCTAGTCACAACGGACTCCCATTAGATTCAATGGAGTGTACTCATTGCACTCTACAAGAGACACTGAAAACAGAGCAGATGAATCCCACTTGCAAATACACGGTGGTTTTTTTTTTTGCACTGTCTTTAAAGGTGAGACGATGGATTTATCATTTCCCTTTTTAATCTGCTGAGGCGGGTAATGATTATTTCCATTACAACATCACTGCTGAGAATTGAGATTTGCTCTAATTGCTGTTTTTGCATATGCTAGTGAGTTTCTTATACAAGTTTCCTCCCGGTGTAAACAGGAAAGAAAAAGAAAAAAAATCTGAAAAGAAGATTCTGAATTGTAGACTGTGATCTGCAGAAGAATTTGGCACCTAGAAGCAAGTTGTGTGTTGCTTCCAGCACAAAGTAGGAAAGCCTGCAACATTCTGATCTGTCTCGAATTTGTTGACGATGTATTCTGATAGAACTGCAGAACAGTTATCTCTGGATTGCTGAGGTCACAACCTAAGCTTGTGAGAGAAGATGTTTATCAACATATTTATCTCTCATTTCCAGAGTCCAAGGGCTCCTGGCATTCTGTAGTCTGTGAACAGAGCAATTCCAACTGACTTCCAACTATTTATGGGCACTGTAGCACAGCTGCTAATATAAAGGTGTTCTCAAGATATGCTCTTTATTTTCCCCAATGAAATGTGATATATTTCCATGATTACAATATCTTGGCATCCATCAAAGCATTCCCTGTGGTTACTGCAGTATTATTTATAACAAATGGTGCAGTAAGCACTCAATGGGAGACTGGCAGTGTTGGGAATCTTGTACATTAAATGCTTGTTAAGTGAGATAGCAAAATGCTGCTCTGAGACCAAAATGTTGCTCTAAGACCACAATATTGCTCTAAGAGTTATGTGACATTTTAAAAAATGGTTTTTTTAGCAGAGCAGGGCCATAGGGAGTCCAAGAAATAAATAAAACAACACAGTTTGTATATGTGTTCTTACTAGAATTGTCTTTGTTGTATTTCAGAAAATGAAGTCAACTGTTTCTCACTTCAGTCATCAGAGACAGCTGCTTCAAATCACTGGTTTGATGAAAACCTTAAACTCTTGACATTTGTGACTGCATCATCCTTCAGTAACAGAAACATTTGGACTCTACTGAGGGGCAGGAGGTGGGGGGTCTCCTTCACCCACAGAAAGCAAACCTTTGCCTCTGGAATTAAACTACCAAGTATTGTGGTTCTTCATCAGCTCAGAGTCAGGTTTGGGTCACTTCTGTCAAGAAGGCAGAATGGGCATTGATCAAAAACTTGCCACTTTAGCAGTCATAATGGAAGGTGCTGGATGGAATTATAGGCTCTTAGACAAGAGTAAGTTTCAAATATGAGGACTAATCACATGGGATTAACATGATGAACTGGTCTTGAGAAAGAATTTCAAGTTTCAAGAGTTCTAGTTTGACATGACATCAGGGAACAGAAATTCAAATTGCCATAGGCTGTATCAGAAAGATTAGGATTTTTGATCTTCTTTGAAATTAAATTGCATTGTGTGATTCGTCAGTCCAGAAGGAGAATTGTGAGCTGAAAATTTTGAGGGTTATTTCACTAGGGATACTCTTATTCTATATAAATCAATTTTTTATTCCCTCGCTCTTTTCCCTAAGCTTCCCCATTCAAGGGCTGTTGAAAGAAACCAGCGCTGACATTCAGAAGAGACGTATTAATACTTCTCACCTAGACTTTCATGTGTGCTTGCCCTGATCCCTGGTGACAGCTGGCTTGCTTATCTGGTTGGCAGCATTCATACTGACTGCCAATAGAGGCCCCGTCAGGAACAGACCTCAGCTACCAGGAATAAATGATGGCACTGTCCAAGGTACTCGTGCATAGGTGAGATCTACAGGTGGCACTCGCACGCGTGACAGCAACAGCAACAGGAATGCAGATACATCAGTGCTCAGTGTAAAAGGTTGCCCAGGTGTCAGAGGAAGGTCTGCTAAGGCCTTTTTAACATTTACTGGCAGAGAGGAACAGTGAGGACTTGAACAGGTTTTAGGAAGAAAATAGTGCTTGGGCTCGAAAGAGTCACCCACACAAAGTCATCCATCCAAAGTGGTATTTCACATCATTTAGGGGCGTCCCACCTGAGTTTGAATGGAGTGAATGTGGCTGTACCTCCTGAGGGTCTGTGACACTATGCTATATGAAAGCTTCTAAAATGGTCAGTGATGCCAACACCAAGGCTTCCTTTTTGCCTCCATTTGCATTTCATTGGGAGGTCTTTAAGAGCTGGAACAGGACAACATCAAAGTTCAGCAAGCAGAAAACTGCAGGACAAAAGATGCAAGTGGGTAACATTGAAATACTTTTTTTTCAGGTTTTGCCTACCAGAAGCACACTTGATTGTGTTCCATTTTAATGATTGCTATTAAAAGACCATTACAGAAGGACATGTGGCTCATTTGCACCTATTAGTAGCACTCAGAAGTCTAATGTAAAGATAGATTTTCAACACGTAATCAGATGGATTTTATGATCCATTTGTCTGCGGTGGATCTCATATCACAGCTCACAGGGATGAAGTTAATTCATAGTTTGAGTTCATTCTGGAGAGAAGACAGTCTGGGAATCAAACAGGGAACAGACTGCTGCACATAGCTTGAAGTGGAAATCTCTGAAAGGAAAATGGAGCTGTTTTCTCAGCTGGAGCAGAACCACACATTTCTAGTGACTACCTGAATGGTCCTGATTTAGAAGCATGGAACATCAAGTCTCTGGTGTTTATTCCATATACATTATGTACATACACAGTAGCATCTCAAAGGAGAGAAGAGCTTACCACTGCAAAGTGAGTTTTCCTCGAGAAAAGCCTCTGTACTGCATCCAACAAAGTACACAATTATCTGCTAAGGACTTTTTTTGTTATTACTGCAGTTCTGTGTCAACACATTAATTTATCTCAGAACTGGGCAGCTCTAACAAAGCACACACATCAATTCTGTTAACGGAAGCTGATGAATGGATATTTAAGAGAAGCGGTGATGACAGCCAATGCATCCTTTTTATTTATCTTTAATCTGATTTGATATTTTTATTCAGTTCTGTTTATATAACACATTTTCTGCTTCATAATGGAAAACAGAATTAAGGATTTTTCCCTTGATATGCACTGGCAGATAAAATCAGTCCAAAGGCAAGATGCGGAATATAGCATAAAAGAACTTATTTCTTATTCTCTCACTGTTATTTGTGGTGTGCTAAGAATATCCTTATTGCTGGAATAAGACCCTCTCCAGTTACAGCTGGGAAAGAAGTAGCTTTCATTACTTGCCAGGACTTTGGAGGTTTCTTGTTTCCTTTCCTGAACTGGAATGAAAATTCCAAGCTCAAGAATAGTTTTATAAGTCAGTGATCCAGAAAGCACTTGGACCACCTGTTTTGGCTGAGATCAATTTTAATCTGAATTTTTAAACCTGGAAGACCTTTTGAACCAAAATAAACTTTACAGTTAGAGATTTTGGTTATTAAAAATGTACAAAAAAACTGAATTTCCTTCCACTCAAATTCCATTTGAGTGGAAATTCAGCTTCCTCAGAGAGATGAAATAACCAAAATATTCCAAGCAGCATGACAGAGTACAAAGGCTTCTTTGCAGTTTTCATTAAAATCAAGAACTTAAATGCAAAGTCGTTATGCTCTTCTTCTCTTTTGAGAGCTTAATGGGCAGCTAGCATTTATTTTCCTCATTTTCTGTTGGGTTCTTATTTTATGTTTCGCTGAAAGCTTGTATTTCTATGCTTCCCAGAATGCTTGCTCCTCCTCCTCACTCCCAGGGAATGTAAATAATAATCTACTTTGCCTTTGCATTTTTATGCAATGTGGTAAAATCCCCTCCAGGATTAAGTAACCCAAAGTGGCATCAAAGCAGTCATCTCAGCTGGAGCTGTCATCCTGACCTCAAATGAAAAGTCTGCCAGTTAATGCTTCTTTTTAATTGTTCTATCACACCGTCCTGACACGATTCTCAGAGAGGCCTCTTATTACTGGATTTCCCCAACTGGAAGTCATGGGTGCTATAATGTCTTCTTTTGGCATGCAGCAAAGCGATAGAAAATGCATTCTGATCAGGAATAATGAGATGTGATTAAGAGGAGCAAGACATAATACAGTGGATGGTTGGGATGATCAATGGATGAGTCTTTCTAGGACAGCAGTGAAAGACCAATGCTTTGGGCAAGCACAGCAGGACTGTGCTTCTTGAAGCTGTGCATCTTGAAGACTGTGTGAGATAGCATGGAGTTTTGGTGGGGAAAAGAGAAGGTGGTAGATGAATGGCTAATTCCCTACCTAATGTCTGTGTTACACATGAGCAAACAGAGCCCTGTCTTTGTCCATGCTTTGACTTAACATCATATCCAACTCCAGCTGCAGTCAGGACACCAGCTACTGCTAGAGCAATAGCTCATATACCTCAGAATCACAGAATCACAGAGTCACTAAGGTTGGAAAAGACCTATAAGATCATCCAGTCCAACCATCCACCTATCACCAATGGTTCTTGCTAAACCATA